TACGTATTTAGAAATGTCTTTTCTCATCCCTGGCCACCAGAACTGGCGTTGGACCAAGTGTAAGGTTTTCAAGTAACCAGAATGTCCTGACATTTTATTGTGATGTCTCTGTGTTAAAATCTCCCCCCCCCTCAACATCTCAGGCACATCCGTTTTATCGCCTTTGCACCAGCTGCCATTATCCCACTGCTGCAGCCCTTCCTTTTCGACAGTCTCTAGATCACGAGGGGTGAATGCCGTCTTGAGTTTTTCCAGCCAGCCGCTCGGCTCCTCCTCCCTCCCCGCTTTCGCCTGACTACGCGTCATTACAACCCCTCCCAACTGGGCAAGGGAAAGCACAGTGTAGGTGACCTCATCATCTTGACTGGTGTGCTGTGGGAGGCAGGAGAGGGCATTGGCTAAGAAATTAGATTTCCCAGGGAGGTACTTTATGGTGAAACGAAACTTTGAGAAAAACTCCACCCATTGTAGTTGCTTTGCCATCAGGCAGTGAGGAGTCCTTAAGGCCTCTAAGCTTTTATGATAAGAACATAAGAACAAAAGAGACGCCAATGTTGGATCAGGCCAAAGGCCCATCCAGTCCAACACTCTTCTGTGTCACACAGTGGCCAGAAATACCAAGTGCCATCAGGAGGTCCACCAGTGGGGCCAGGACATTAGAAGCCATCCCACTGTTGACCCCCCCAAGCACCAAGAAGACAGAGCATCACTTGCCCCAGAGTCCCTATCTATACCTTCTGGCTAATAGCCACTGATGGACCTCTGCTCCATATGCTTATCTAATTCCCTTTTGAAGCTGTCCATGCTTGTAGCCGCCACCACTTCCTGTGGCAGTGAATTCCAAGTGTTAATCACTCTTTGGGTGAAGAAGTACTTCCTTTTATCCGTTCTAACCCGACCGCTCAGCAATTTCATGGAGTGCCCACGGGTTCTTGTATTGTGAGAAAGGGAGAAAAGTACCTCTTTCTCTACCTGCTCTTTCCCATGCATAATCTTATAAACCTCAATCATGTCACCCCTCAGTCGTCGTTTCTCCAAGCTAAAGAGCCCTAAGCGCCTTAACCTTTCCTCATAGGGAAAGTGTTCCAACCCTTTTATCATTCGAGTTGCTCTTTTCTGCACTTTTTCCAAAGCTATAATATCCTTTTTAAGGTGTGGTGACCAGAATTGCACACAGTATTCCAGATGAGGTCGCACCATTGATTTATATAGCGGCATTATGATATTGGCTGATCTGTTTACAATACCCTTCCTAATAATCCCCAGCATAGCATTGGCCTTCTTTATTGCAGTCACACACTGTCTCGACATTTTCAGTGAGTTATCTACTACAACTCCAAGATCTCTCTCTTGATCTGTCTCTGCCAGTTCAGACCCCATCAACGTGTATTTATAGTTAGGATTTTTGGCTCCAATGTGCATCACCTTGCACTTGGCCACATTGAACCCCATTTGCCATGTTGACGCCCACTCGCCCAACTTTGACAGATCCCTTTGGAGTGCCTCACAATCCTCACTGGTTTTCACCACCCTGAACAACTTCGTATCATCCGCAAATTTAGCCACTTCACTGCTTACTCCCAACTCCAAATCATTAATGAACAAGTTAAAAAGCAGTGGACCAAGTACTGATCCCTGTGGTACCCCACTGCTTACACCCCTCCACTGGGAGAACTGCCCATTTATACTCACTCTCTGTTTTCTATTAATTAGCCAGTTTTTGATCCATAAAAGGACTTGTCCTTTTATCCCATGATTTTTGAGCTTGCTTAGGAGCCTTTGATGAGGAACTTTATCAAAAGCTTTCTGGAAGTCAAGGTAAACAATATCTATTGGATCCCCCTTGTCCACATGTTTGTTCACCCCCTCAAAGAACATTAACAGGTTAGTGAGACAAGATCTTCCCTTACAGAACCCATGTTGAGTCTGCCTCAATAGGTTTTGTTCATCTATGTGCCTACTAATTCTTTCCTTAATAATGGTTTCCACCAATTTACCCGGTATCGACGTCAGACTGACTGGCCTGTAATTTCCCGGATCTCCTCTGGAACCCTTTTTAAAGATGGGAGTGACATTAGCTACCTTCCAGTCCTCAGGAATGGAGGCTGATTTTAAGGAGAGATTACATATTTTTGTCAGGAGATCCACAAGTTCACAATTGAGTTCTTTCAGAACTCTTGGATGTATGCCATCTGGGCCTGGTGATTTATCAGTTTTTAAGTTGTTTATCAGTTTTAGGACCTCCTCTCTCGTCACCTCAATCTGACTCAGGTCTTTCAACACCCCTCCCGAACTCAGCGGCTCTGGAGTGGGCAAGCACCTCTCATCTTCCACAGTGAAGACGGAGGCAAAAAATGCATTTAGCTTCTCAGCCATTTCCCTATCATCCTTAAGTACTCCTTTTACCCCTTGGTCATCCAAGGGCCCCACTGCCTCCCTGGCTGGTTTCCTGCTTCTAATGTATTTGAAGAAAGTTTTATTGTTGGTCATTACATTTTTTGCTATATGCTCCTCATATTTCCTTTTTGCCTGCATGACTACAGACTTGAATTTTATTTGCCCTGTGTTCTGTTTTATCAGCCTCACTGTGACTAGCTTTCCACCGCTTAAAGGAATCCTTTTTACCTTTTACAGCTTCCATTACTTTGTTTGTTAACCATGTAGGCTTTTTCTTATACCTGTTTGTGCCTTTCCTAACCTGCGGAATATTTTTTTTTGAGCTTCTAGATTCGTAGTTTTAAATAGTTTCTAAGCTTCCCCAATGGTTTTGACCCTTTCTACTTTTCCTTTCAGTTTCCTCCCCACATGTCCCCTCATATCAGAAAAATCACCCCTTTTAAAGTTAAAAGTGGTTGTGTGAGTCTTTTTGGCCAATTCCCTATTTGTACAAATGTTGAATTCAACAACATTATGATCACTGTTCCCAAGCGGTGCAATCACTTTTACATCTCTCACCAGGTCTTGAGTGTTACTTTGGACCAAATCAAGGATCGCCTCTCCCCTGGTAGGTTCCGTGATTGGTCCATACCTCAAAGGGCACCCTTACCCCTTCTAACTGGTGGTGCCAGTTAGTAAGCGCCAGCTTCACAGCTGCAGCCTCTTTGTCCCAAACTGCCCAATTATGCTCAGCCCCCGAGAACTTCTTTGACATGTAAGCCAGAGGGTGCAATTTACCATCTGCACCTCTTTGTAAAACTGCCCCCCATCGCTACATCAGATGCATCCACCTGCACAATAAAACCTTTATTTTCATACGGAGGATGGGTTCTGTCAGGCTCCCTAGTCAGGTCACACCACACAGGGCTTCATAAGAAGATAACTGTTTATTAGTGAACAGGGAAAGAATATGTACACAGAGGTCACAGAAAACAGAATGGCAGCTTGCTGACACTGACTTACTAAACATTCCCCCTGTGAGCATAAGCCAATGGATATAGTTTGCGCACATGGCAAAGCAAGCGGGCAGAGCAGAGAAGCCATTAACTTTCCCAGCCGTGGAAGCGGTAGCTGGAACATCTGCAAGGTCAAACATAAGATAGCACACAGTAGCTGGGCAGGAGAGAGCTGAGAACCAGAAGGAGGATATCCCTCCACATTCCAGATCTATGACAGGCTACCTGACATCCTGCCCCTCCCAACGACCCCCCCCCAGGTTCCCCCAAAACTTGGAAACAAATTGTAATGCTCACTTGTACAGATATTTTGGGTAAACATATTTAAGGAAATGAATAATATTCTGGATTGCAAACTGGAATGGAAGCCTGGCATAACAATGTTAAGCATTTTACCAAGTAAGCTTGAGAAAGGGGGAAGGTATGAAATAAAAAATCTGTTCGTAGTAACGATAAAACTTCTTGCACATACTGAAATAAGCTTAGGCCAAAAGTAACATGTCTGATTAATTGACTGTAATAAATGGAGGATCAGAATGTAATAAGATATAAACAGTAGTGCAGTTAGGCATTTTTGTGCTTCAAACTTTGGAACTAATGTGATCTTTGGAAATGTGGATGTTATTTACCCTTGCCGTAATTATCTAAGTGTATTTTGTAATTTTTTAATAACAAAGTTTAAAAAAAACAATTTGAATGCATGATGTATGGATGGAAATTGCATAGGGACTTATTTTTAGGTATTTGGAAACTGTTAATAGAAACTTATGTGTAGATCCACCACCACAGTTGTTATATTTTTGTCGCTAAGTTTATTTACTCCCTCTTTTTCTTCTTTTTGTAAAAAAAAAAATAGTTGCTGGATTTTAAGTATTTTTCCCTTGTCCTTTTTTCTATTTTTTTTTTCTGAAAGAAATAAATTTTCAAAAAGAACATTGTGGACAGGATGACCTGAAGTGATGTCACACTAGCAAGGGCATCATCCCTCCTTCCCAATTTTATCCCACGGAGAGAGTGGGCAGAGAGGGTGAGAGAGTAGTGGGCATTCGGGTGAGCCTGCATGAACCTGTGACTGGTAGCATATACTGATGGACACACCAGGAATTTATTCTAGCTCTCCAAGATTGTAATAATCTCTCTGGCTCAGAAAAGAATGAAAACAAAAAGGTGCTCTGTGGGTAAGGTAGTAGTGAAGCACACACACAGACAGTGGAATGTGGCTCCCTCAAGCTGGAGCTCCTTGAAATTCCATGTCATGAGACACTTTGTGGATTTTATCAAAGCTTTTCAAGTTTTTCAGGGCAAATTGGAGAAGAGAGATGGACTCAAAAGAAAACTGGCTGCTTTAGTATCACTTGTGCAGCCCTGACCCACACTTAAATAGTCAGGGCCTTGCTAGAAATTGCGCACTCCTGCTGGCTTGGCAGGCTTCAAAGTTCATTTTATCAGTGTCTGACTCTCTCAGTGATGGTTATTACTTCCCAACACTGCATTTTGGTATCTATGTATATTTATTTTAGAATGTGAAACTTGTTTCATTGCCTGGGATAACGGGAAGCCACTGCAGTTGGTGTTTTCTCAAGAGAAACCTATTTCCTATCCCCACAGGGCAAAACATTATCTATCGAGGATGCTTTAGAGTGCCAGAGAATTTAACAAACACCTTGCCAGCCACTCTGATGCACTCCAATCTGACGGTGGAGATGTGCTCTGAATTTTGCTCCAAGAAAGTAAGAGGAGATTTCTTTCTTTTTCTGTCTTTCAAGTTTTGGACACCGTGCAAAGATATCTTTGTGTCTCTGGACTCTCTTTGTAAAAGAAAGAAAGACAAAGTGCAGCCCAAAGCAATGAATGCCTGTGATGGCAAATGCATCTGCAATGGCTTTCTTAGCAGGGCGAAGTGAATGTTCTTGTCTTCTTTCTTTTTATATTCATTTATATTTTTCTCATCAGTTTGGCTCCTCTATGTTTTGCTGTTGGTTTTATAGGTTCATTTCATAGAATCATAAAGTTGGAAGGGATCCCCAGGATCATCTAGTCCAACCCCCTGCACAATGCAGGAAATTTACAAATTCCTTTGCCCCACACACCCCGTGACCCCTGCTCCATGGGCAGAAAATGACAAGAAACCTCCAGGATCCCCAGCCAAACTGGCCTGGAGAAAAATTGCTTCCTGACCCCCAACGTGGCGATCAGCATTTTCCTGTGTGTGTAAGAAAGGGCCACAAGAACTCAGCACTGAGGCAACCCTTCCTGCCCTCCCTCGCATGATTTGCCTAAGTTCATAGAATCAGCAGTGCTGTCAGATGGCCATCTAGCCTCTGTTTGAAAACCTCCAAAGATGGAGAGCCCACCACCTCCCGAGGAAGCCTGTCCCACTGAGGGACCTCTCTTAACTGTCAGGAAGTTCTTCCTCATGTTTAGCCAAAAACTCTTCTGATTTAATTTCAGCCTGTTGGTTCTGGTCCGACCTTCTGGGGCAACAGGAAACAAATCTGCCCCATCCTCTAGATGGCAGCCCTTCAAGTTGTATGCATGATTTCAATAAACCACGTAAATAGACTGCCACTTATATACCCTGCCTTCTTTCTGTCACAAAACACAAGGGAATGTGTGGAGTTAGGGTGGGGAACATCTCTCCCAGGAGGAACAACCCCATTTAGGCATCCACCAGACTCCTGATTTGTTTTGTTCCAGGTGGTTGATGTGCTCTTCAGCCTGACGTGGGACTAAAGTATCCAACTCTGGGCTTGGAAACCCCTGAACACTTGGCGGGTGGAGCCCGGGGGAGGGACCTCAGCAGAGTCCAATGCTGTGGAGTCCCCCTTTCAAAGCTGCCACTTTCTACAGGGGACGTGGTCTCTCTAGTCTGGAGGCCACGTGTAATTCTGGGATCCCTGCAGGCTCCACCTGGAGGTTGGCAGTCCGACACGAGACCCGACATCTATGGTCTCAGATGGCTTTACCAATGTGCGCAGGACAGTAATTGAAAACTGTACATCAGTGGGGGTTTCTGCTTCCAGAACTTGTCCCGATGGCGGCCATGTCCAGAGCCAGTCAGGATGCTGCCTCCGTTCCCTGGAAGGTCAGGTAGTGAAGGGAGGGAGTTCGGCTTTCCTCTCTCTCCTCCTCCTCCTCCTCCTCCTCCCTTCCAGATGTCTTCTCATTCTCCCTGTCTTTTTAGTCTAGTTTGGAGGACAGACAGCCACCTGATGCCCTCCTCTTCAGCCTCTGGCCATGATCCCACCTCCCTCTGACAATACATCTTTGGCTATTTAAAGCTGCTCATAACACCTATTAAATACTTTTATAAAAGAGGAGCACCAGTATTTCTAATACTTCTCATTGCCGTATCTGTGGAAACCTAATTCCAGAGACTGGAGATATGAGGGAAACCTGAAATCTTTAAAGATATATATGGGGTTAATCCCCCCCCCCAATAATAGAAGTAGCACTAGATCAAAGTTTGAGTCCAGTAGCACCTTTAAGACCAATGCATTTTGTTCAAATTATAAGCTTTTTGTGCACGCAGACTTCTTCAGATACATTGAAATGGAAGTTACCAGTCCATACACACAGGTAGAGGGTGAGCAGCAGATTAGCATACAGCGTAATAAAGGTTTTTAACAGATCCAAGGACCAAACTGGGAGAACAAGCTTAGTCTATATGGTCACCATTTGTTTCGGTTTAATTCTAGAGGGAAAAATAATGAAGGAAAGAAATATATCAAAATTGGAGATGTACTCTTGCCGAGAGTAATTTACTGAGACCCTGTCATTACACTCCATCCGTCTCCTCTCAGGCGTGGAGACAACAGTACAGTATCCTCTGGGCTGTGGCTGTGCTGAGTGCATCTCCCCTGTCCCCAGACCAGAGAAATACATTCCAGTCTACCATTCCAAATTACATTACATTCTACAATTCGTTACATTCCAATCTACTGTACCCAAAAAGAAATAAAATAAAATGCAATAAAGAGGATGTACAGCCCTTCTGGGGGACTGGTGAGAATACAGATGTAAGGACTGAATGATGTTAACATATGGAGTAAGATAAGAAATCAGTATCCCTGTTAAATCCTGGGGGTTCCATTGCTCTTAGTGTTGTAATAACTTGCAGCTCAGCATTTTCCCTTTCCAGTCTGTTCCTGCAGTTCCTTTGCAATAAAACAGGTACTTTGAGGTCACCCATTGAATGTCCTGGAAGGCTGAAGTGTTCCCCTGCAGCTTTCTCAGTCTTGTGTTTCTTGATGTCATATTTGTGTCCATTTATCCTTTGGCATAGAGTTTGTCCTGTGCAGAGAACTGAAGGGCTTTGTTGGCATTTAGTGGCATGTACAGTGTTAGAAGATGAGCCAGTGAATGAGCCTCTGATGGGGTAGTTGATGTTGTTAGGTCCGGTAATTGTGTTGTCTGGGTGTCTGTGGCAGCAAAGTTGGCAGCTGGGTTTACTGCAAGCTCTGGTACCAGTGTCCGTGTTCAAATGAGATGCTGTATTATTGTGGGTGAGTTATTGTCTCTTTTGGGCCTGTTTTGTAACAGGCTTTCTCTGGGTATCATTATGGCTTTGTTAATCTGTTTCTCGACTTTATCAGGTGGATATTTTAGTTCCAAAAGGGTTTGCTGCAGATCCCTCAGGTGAGAATTTCTGTCTGTAGGATTGAAACAGATGTGGTTGTAACGTAGAGCCTGCTTGTAGACCATAGATTTTTTTGGTAAGCTTAGGGTGTTAGCTGGAGGTAGGTAGATAAGTTTGTCAGCCAGCAGGTTTCTGGTGTAAGGTGGTTATCTGTGTGTCCGTTGTGTATTTTTACAGTAGTATCCATGTATTTCTTGCATAGATTGGTTCATTGTCAGGTTGATGGTGGGGTGATATTTGTTGAACTCCTGGTTGAATTTGTCCAGGGCTTCTTTCCCATATGTCCCGGCAATAAAGGTGTCATCAGTGTAATGCGTGTGTAAGAGAAGTGTGAGTGGGCAGGAGTTCAGGAAGCACGGCTCCAACTCAGCCACTGTGATTCCATGTGGGTGCCTATGGCTGTACCATTAATCTGAAGGTACAAGTTGTTACCAGATTTGAAGTAGTTATGAGTGAGAACAAAATCGCAGATTTTGGTGGCAAGGTCAGCTGTGGTGTTGTGAGAAATCATGTTTCTTATGGCTTGTAATTCATCCTTGTGTGGGATGTTGGTGTACAGAGATTCCACATCCGTGGTGGCCAAAATAGTATTATCCGGAAGGCTATTCAAAGCTAGTATTCTCCTCAGGAAATCCATGGTGTTGCACACATAACCAGTGTTCCCTCTAAGCTGAGTTAGTGTGAGTTAGCTCACAGTTTATTAGCCTCTGGCTCACACATTTCTGTCTTGGCTCAGGAAGGACGGCTCCAGAGCAAACTAACTTATGCAGTAGCTAAATGGCTCACTCACAACTTTAATGCCAGTAGCTCACACAGTAGAATTTTTGCTCACAAGACTCCACAGCTTAGAGGGAGCATTGCACATAACTAGAAGCATTAATGACATATGGTCTTAGAACAGAGTCCCTCTTAGAATAGAGTCCCTCAGGTGAGAGAGCCTACGTCTGGAGCAATGGGGCACCTTTGGTTGCCAGGTTTGTATATTTTTGGTAGAAGGTAAAAGGTACCTGGCCGAGGTTCCTGTGGTGTGTCTGAGAGGGGTAATTCCTTCACAATCTTGTTTAGTTCTTTTTTATATTCCTGTGTTGGATCTGAGGATAGTTGTTTGTAAAAAGCAGTATTTGTAAGTTGTATTTGCTGTGTCTGATCTATCCATGATGACAACAGCTCCACTTTTGTCTGCTTCTTTAATTATAATCTCTGGATTATTCCTGAGACTGTCTATGGCCTTCCTTTCAGCATGGTTGAGATTCTGTTGTATGCAATGGTGTTTGTGGATCACCTTGGTTTGGATTCTACCGTGAAAGCATTCAGTGTAGAGATCCAGTGTGGCATTGTTTGTGACCATCAGGAGGGCGCTCTCTCTCTCTCTCTCTCTCTCTCTCTCTCTCTCTCTCTCTCTCTCTCTCTCTCTCTCTTGTGGTGTTGTTTTGATGGCAGTTGGTGGTTAGGATCTTGTTCATTGGTGGGTTGGAGGGATGCTGACTGTTCTCCAGTAGATGGTGTGATGGCATGTTGTGAAGAGGCTGTCTGTTCTTTCATGTCCTGTTCTTGGGTATGTTGAAAGTACTCCTTCAGGAATTTGTTACTAACTCTACGAATGAGATCTGCTCAGTACCTAAGAAATATTTCAACTTCATGTTCTATTGATTGTTCAATGAGGATTGTACCTAAAGATACGAAATATAAAGGGTGTTGTGTAACAAAAGTTTTGTGTTCTTTTTGTTAAATGTTAGAAGAGTTGTATTTTTGTAAAATTTGTTGTTTATAAAATAATAAAATAAAAATTAAGTTTAAAAAGAAAGAAAGAAATTACTCCTTCAGGCACAGATGGCAGAAGAAGGCTTCTAGCACTGGTCGTTTATGAAATGAATGCCCTCAGTGGCCATTGCTAGATATTGTCTTGTCCGCCTCTCAGCTTTGGTTTCCGTCAGTACGAGACAGATGGAGAGGCAGAGCCCTTTCTAGAGCCAGGGCTGACAACAACCAGAGGGGAAACTCCCTACCGTGCAACTTGTAGGACTCGCCCAGGCCTGGCTGCAACCACATCGTGAAAGCAAGTGTGACATAGTGGTTAGAGTTTCAGACGAT